TAAACAAGGAGTTCCGGCTTAAAGTTATTCTTATTTTAATATATGCGATTAAAATATTAAAATAGCTGAAAAGGACTCAGCTAATTTTGAATGTAAAATTTTCTTTATTGATTTTTGTTATTCTTTTAGTATATATGTATGTTATTAATGTATATTGCACATTTCCCGTAGTGATTGTTTATTTTCATTATAAATATCCTTTTTTTCTTATACTTAAATTTTTATAGATTACATTGTCCAGCATGAACTATGAAAAATTGGTTATATGATAAGAGATTAAAGAAAATAGACAATTTGAATCTTGGATTGTGATATAAATGGGAGGATATTATTAAGGATATGCCAAAAGAAATACTCTTTTTTTTTTAAATAAAGGAAAATAATTATAGGTTGGTACGTAAAATATCTTAAATCTGGAATGTAGAGCATTAGAAAATTAAAAATATTTGAAAAATTATAATACAAAAGTGGTAGTTTAAGATTATTACTTTAGATATCGAAACAAAATAATTTTTCTTTATTGAAATAGAAAATCATTGTTATTTATTCGATAAATGTTTTTCTTCCATTTAAGGGTGTAATGACGCTTCAAATGTGTAGCATTTCCAACTGAACCGTCCTATACAGCAATAGTTGAGACGAGTAATTTCTCTGCAAGTTAACATACAAGAAGGAAAATACTTTCAGTCTGGGAAATTTTCACTCCTGGAAACGAATGGCAAACCTGTGCGTTATTAAAATCAAATTGCTGATTAAAATACAATTGCTAATGCAATTACGTTTCGTAGCTGATGTCTGCTGGGATATTTAACAATTCTACAAAAATGAGATGTAAAAGTCAAAGATTCTGTTTACTTAGTATTAAAAAAAACATAAAAATGACTGTATAGTCTTATATTTAAACGATTGAGGAAAGGAGTCTAATCAGTAATATACAATAGAACGAAGAATATTGTAGGAGAAATCTAATATTTTTGATATGCCACAAAAAATGTAAGTATGATCTTATTTGTTTGCATTTTTATGTACATGTTAGAGCTGAAGTGTGTATGTACATTAAGTATTTCACTTAGATTTATAAAAAATTTTCGACTGAACAAGAAAACTTTCATTGGCAATTCCTTTTTAGTCTACTGTAATTCCTCCTGACATCAAATTAGCAACAACTCTACAGTTCAAGGATTTTTAAATTGTAAGAATTTGGTTGTTTGTCTAGACCTACAAGTTATGGAAAAAAACACATAAATCTATAACATATACATACATAATAAATTAAATCAAAGATTTGTACTTACATTTTTACTTTTAAACTTTAAAAAAATTGGAATTTCAAAAAATTTTTCGGAGTATCTGATTCTTTATTTGTTAGTTTTATAAAATATTACAAAAATACAATATTAAAAAATTACATTCACTCAATTCTAAAATAAAAAAAATTTTAAATAATATGGAACAGGAACATTTTTCAAGACAACATTGTTCACAAGACTAACAAAGACAATATTGTTTATAAGAATTTTATTATTTTTGAAAATTAATGAAAAAGTCTACTTTATTTAATTTTTTAGATCAATTATTTGATTTAATTTTTGACAAATTTTTCCAAATTTTAAACAAAACAGAAAAAAAATTTAAAGTGACAAAGAAAATTTAAAAATCGGAAAACGCAATAATGTCGCAATATTGTCAAAAAAATTGTGATCGATTACAAATTGGTATCGAAAACAACAATATTATTTGTACTTCTTATAAACGAACTACAAAAGAAAAATCACGATTCTTACTTTTCCGGTATTTGATTTAGAATTAAAAATGTTGAAAAGCACAAAGAAATTAAAAATATTTCCGTTCTTTAAATATAATTGACAGGTACATAACATGTTTACTTTGACATGTTCATATAGCGAATTGTAAAATACAATTATGTATTGAGAAGGTATATGTGTTTGTGCACGTCCAAATAAGTGTATATGGCGATAAATAATAGTAAATATTGTGTGAAAGGATCACAATTTTTTTGTTCGATTTTTGCTTGCGGATCCGCTAAATCGGATTTCGTATATTAAAAAAAAAATTCTATTATTTTAAAATAGGTAATGTTTAAGTAAATAAAATTTTTTCAAAAACAAAATTTGTTTAATTTTTTACTCTAATATTCTTAAGAGTAAAAAGGTGATTAGATTTAGACGTGTTTTTAACAATAGAAACAACTTCTAAAATTAAATTTTTTTCGAAGAATTTTTTCTTATTGTTTAAACAATTGAACCGATTACACACCATTTATAGGAATCGATTTCAAAAACTATAAGGTATTCGAATGGAATTTTTTTGATTTTCTTAAAAAAATTTCAAGTTTATTTAGGATAATTTCGTTTTTTTTTTTATTTTGTTGTAAGTGTCACTTTTGCTTTACCGAGGAAACTAAAAAATAATAGGATTTCCGCTGCAAAGAAGATTAAATTTTTTTTGGAAATAAAAAATAACAAATTTGTGCGTACATATATGTAAAAGAATTTACTTTGTATGTAACAGATTTGGGTATAGCAGAGCTGTTTATTATACCGGATGTTTAAAGATGGTGCCCAATATTAGTTTAGAATCAATTTTTAATACAATGATATTTAATATAAATAATAAATTTGTTTCATTAAATATTTACTAAAAAAAATATTAACAAAAATATTTATTGACTTTGGAGTGAAAATTAATTATTTTATTAAAAATCCTAAATATTTTAATTACAATTCGGTTCATGAATTCCAAAAGGTGATAAGTTTAAAAATAAATTTTTTGAGTTAGATATGATGAAGTATCTTAAAAGTAAAAGGCAATTACTTTTAAGAAATTATTTTTACGAAATGAAAAGTTCTTCTAAAGCTCATGCTCTTCAGGACTAAGGTGCTGGGTTTTTCTTCATCGGATATGTACCGGTAATGTCGGGATAGCGGGGTAGTGCAGAATGTGCGTCACGTGCTATGCGAGTGGCCGCTCTTATGCGAGGGAGGAACGCTTTTTGGGAGGATATCGGTTCGACGGATTGAAAGAGCTCTAGGGGGTAAGGGCCTTTAATAGATTTAGAAGGATGGGTGTATGTTGGAGGAATGCCGAAAGGTCTTCTATTGGACTAGTGCTAGATGGCAGCGTTAAGGATTCTATAATTCGCACAAATTTTCCAATATTTATAGATTCGGAAATAGAAATTCAATTATAATTAGGTGAAAGCTTATGAAAATTAGATTTTATTTTGAAATTTAAAAAAATTTTTTGATGAATTTGAGATTAACGGTAAAATCCAACATGATTTTCCTAATTAATTGATGTAAAGGAATATTTATGTATAATTTTCAAAAATGCGCTATGAAACACTTTAAAATTATAGAATTTCATTTAAAATCGGAATTTTTAAAATTTTTCTTCTAGAATAATTTCTCATCTCATTAAGAGCAACATATTTTCTCACAGGATGTTAATAATTTAAATAATTTGTAATTTGTATAATATTATACAGGATATAGAAATACACACCTATAGTTTTTTTTCGGTCGTACTTTTGTTTTATTACATTAGAAAAAATGCATTTTTTTTATCCAGTGCCTTTGTAATGTAGGAAGGATTTTTATTTAAAGTAACATAAACAAATTAATGTCAAGGAAAAGAAGAAATCTTCCTGCGTCTGTTTCAAGTTTTTAAATTTATATTAATTTTTATTTTCGAAAATTATATGTTATATTTATAAAAATTTCTCCGATTGTATACGAGAATTTAATTTATTAGGGAAAGAAATTTTGATAAAAAAAAAAATAAAACTTTAATATTAAATTCTGTTAATGCTTGAGAAATATTCTAAATTTTGAAATTCCAATTGAAAACTTTTTAAAAAGAAAATATTTAATTAAATGAAATATTCTAACGTTATACACAAACTGGAAGGTGTTAACCACTGATATAATAATTCCAATTTTAATTGATCCTTTTTTAAAATAAATATTATAGCATCTGTCTGTTAATTTTATTACCGGGATTAAAAATTATATATTGAATTTTCGTCTACTGTTCTCGTTAATGATAACATTTTATTTGGAATATAGCTATAAAAATATCAATTCGTTTTTCAAAAATGAAGAGAGCAATCATAGAGTTTACCTACCTGCCTATACTAAAATAAGATTTTCTTAAGACACAATTTTACTTAATTCCTCAAAATCTTTTACAGTTTATACAGTAGGTTTATTTGAATGTAATAAGGAAAAGTTATCAACATTTTTCATCGCTGTTTTTGTCTTGTTGAAGGCGCATGGCTCCGTTAAATTATGTCACATGAAAATTAACCTGATTTGATTTTGTATACTAACCTAATCTGGTCGAATGTGGATTTTTATACGAGCATTTTCTGGATATACATATTCATTTTGTTCGGAAGGTATAAGAAAGAGAGAGGGAGAGAAAGGAGAAAAACTCTACACTTGTATTTTTTTGTAAACTTTTTTCGCATCATAAACACGATCTGATTCTAAATACCATAAAACGTAAATATTAGCATATTTTTTATTTTACTACTTTTTTTCATTATTTGACAGGTGACGAACACTTTATATTCCCTTCATGCTCACTTTTTGAACACTTCATTTTCATTTCAAATTCTGTTAACTTTATAGTTTTCTTCCGCTAATGTTATTTGTTAATTTTGATGTTACAAATGCACTTAGAAACACAATACTACGAAAGTTGTATTCAAAATTTGTTGTATGTAAAAAAGGCAAAGCAACGCTTATAAGCGAAGAGTTTTGAGGTATTCTTTTGCATACTCATCTACAAACCAAAAAATAAATTGAAACAAAAATTTTCCAATATTTTTAATTAAAGCTAATCATGCTTTGCAATATAATCTCTTTTAATTGTTTTTAATTATAATTAAAATTATATTACACATTTTTTATTTATCGAATAATTTAAATTTCATATTTCCGTTTTTTTTTGACGAACTCCCTTTGAATAAGATATCACTCAACTATACTTAACTCCAATGGAAGTACAAAACATAATTTTGATTTTTTACTACCCTCTAACAAAACATGTACTTTATAATTACCAACTAAATTACGATCTTTGAATTCAAATGGTATTGTAGTCGTGTAGTTATTCAAAAAGAATGTGGTCTTTAAAAATGTAAAAGAGAAAATTTATTAAATATAATAAATTAATAAATGTATATGTATATAAAAAAAAAAGAAAAACTTACTCCAACTGGCGGCGGGCAAATTTCAAATTGTTCTTTATAATTTTTTAATGCTCCATACCATACTTGTTCTGGATCCAAAACAACTTTACAAAAATCTGGTCGATATAAAGAAAAAACTGTTCGAACCCAAAATCCTTTCTTTTTTACAAACGTTGTTACTTTGAGCTTTAATATATTTATACTTCAAAAATTATAAATTTTATATATAATTATTTTTTTTTTATATACTTCAACTTTTTCATCTGGTTGAAAAGTTTTTATTGCATTACCGGAACCCTGTACTAGAATATCATTGTGAGTAAAGAAAAATTTTACATCAGGCATTTCAACAAATTTATCAACAAAAGCTTCTTCTTGTCCCTCACATGGAATTATAATACGTTCATCTGATGCAATCGCTTTATAATTATATGATAGAGTCTGAAAAAAAAACACATTGATTTTTTGACAATTCAAAATTAATTTTAGTCAAATTATTCAAAAAAAATATATTTATAGTTGGAAAACTACCTCACCATTTTAATTATAACACAGGTGAATAAAATTAAATAGAAGTTGAAAATTAGAATAGTTCCAGCTGCCATTACAAAATTAATTTATTGACAAACGCATAAAATTGCAAATTAATTAATCCAAACACCATGAAATGAACTTATAAAATGTTTAATATTTTTTTAAGATTTTTTATTTTATTATTAAATTTGTTGCATAATTTGAATTTATTGTAAAAACTCTTTATTTCATCACGAACATCATATTTTATTTATTTTTATATGTTTAAGTTATTTTAATCAGATTTCTATAGTTGTAAAAATGTTCACAAGTTTGATGTTAATCATTTAGTTTTTAAGGAAATACAAAATAGTTTTAATTATTATTATTAAAAAATTTAATATAGAAAAAATTAATATATGAAATTATTTTTAGAGCAAAATTATTGAATATAAAATGCAATTATGGAAAATTTATTATGGAATAAATTTTTTTAATAAAGATTTGCAAAAATTGACGAAATGGGCAACGAGATTAAAGATTTTAATATTTCACTATGTCCTTTTATACACAACATTTTTTAAATGGAATGTACTTTAATGGCATGTAAGAAAAATCACTTAAGTTTTTGTTTTGCATATAAATAAAATATTTTTTAATATAGGATAACCAGAGGAAAAGTGATTACAGCAAAATCGGCCACTTTTAAACCAGACCTTCAACCCAAAAATAAGTAAAGGTGCAATTGTGAGATTGAAAAGTAGCAAAGCCACATGTGGGAACATAGTGTCGTTTAAACTTCTCAGGACTGATCCTAGTCTGGCAGCTATACTTCCCTGACCCATATTGGAGAAAATTTAGCAAAAAGAAAGAATAGATAACATATGGAAGGAAGCAATAAACGTGTAAAACTACCGAACAAAGGTAATCTTCAAGAATGTACGAATTGGAGTAGTAGCACTTTTCCAAACACAATATATAAAGTGCTGGCGTTCACTGTAATGAGCAGAATCGAATCAAAAATAAGCAAAGTATTCAGAATTAACACACTTAGAAGTATCATAGAATAATCTCATAAATTGAATAGTCCCCTGTACTGCCTCTTCACCAAATTCGAGCGACCATCGGACAAAGTTAGGAATAAAGTCATTTGGAATGCATTACACTAGAGAAGAGCGTCCCCAGAAAAATTGTAAACATCACTAAGATCTTGTACAAAAATACGAATACATTGTTTACACGGGAATAATACATTACCCAACCCTGGACTAACTTAATTAAACCTAATTAAATATTATACACATACGATTAAAAAATGATACTTTTCAAATATTATTTCCAAGTTTTATGGATATTCAGTTATTGATTTACAGTACACAAAAACATTAATAATCTGTTGTAGTCGTAGGTTACTCTATTTGAATTTTATTAAATTCACAAAACCGTTTTGCTTCTGATTAAATATAATCAACTATATTTAAAATTATAATTTTAATCCTCTAAGAATTAATGATAATTTTGAAATATATTTTTAGAAGAAGTTCATAAATATAGAAGCATTTCATGTGTAAACTCCCATGGAAAAATCTCCTTGCATCTATAATAATGTTACATGAATTATTAATAATATTATATGGGCATACTTGCTGCTGAATGTTGAACGGAACCTTATATATACATACATATGCATATTTGGTATTGCACCCATTAATCCCTAACGTATGTGTACTCGTACATGCGCTATGCCGCCGTTTGTTGTTTTTTCTGTAAATAAAATTGGGATTTTTTTTTGTTGCATCCTACAAAATGACGATGTATAAAATGTAGACAGATCATTTTTCAAGGAATTCTCGCATTACTTGAACTAAAGAATTTTTTCATTAGAATATTATGTACATATTATATGATATGCTCATATATATTAATAAGTAGGAGTGCTGATGATGTGCTGAAAAAGAAACAAACTATTTATATATGAAGCCGAAGAGAAAAACTATATACGAATATACATATGTATTATAGTATGTATACAGATACAGGAAATCTGAATTTTTGTTACGGTTAATATATCGGATAAAAAGTATGTCTGACACATTCCAAAAAAAAAATCCACATTTACAGATACACACATTTTAATCTTTACAATACAATATTTATGTGTAAAAAGTATCGGAGTTTCAATTTTATTCAATATTTTTTCATATTGCATTGCAGTTTTTGAAAATTTTAAATGAATTTTTATTTTTTAGAAAGTAAATTGTTGCCATATCATGGTTTCTTTCATCATAATATATTTTTGTGTTGGAGAAATTAATGATTTCATATCAAAGGGCGTGTTTAAAAATTAAATTGAGTACAATAATTTTGAATTATTTTACATGGAACTGGAATAATTCCTAAGAATTTGTTTGAATTTAATATTAAATATTTGACATTTTTTTTTAAATTATAACATTTAAATAATTTTTAAAGGGCTTATGAATTTCTTTTTATTAATTCTCTAATAATTTCCCTTTGTATTTATTAAAATTTTTTCTAATTTATAAGAGTGTTAATGTTAAAATAAAAGTAATTCAAAAATTGCGATTATTCTTAACACGTCTTATATTTTAATACAATGGCAACCATGCACGTATTAAACGATTTTTTGGCAAGGTTCATTGGAACTCTTATGCCTCTCTTAAGACCACAAATGTGAAAACTGGCCATTTTGGGCCGGCACGATTTGAAGTTGTTGAGAGGTGTACGTACTGGACAGTTGGACAATATCTTTCGATGATCCTACAAAAGGATGGGCAAAGCGGAAACCAAGATCTGCCGTTTTTAATTAGAAGGGGACGAGACAGTGGAGCATTACACTCGTACAATTGATGTCAGCGCTGCAGTTTGTCAACAGCCCAAGTATAGTTTTGATGAAGGCGAGAATGAGACCTATTTAAAGGAGATATTTTTCTCTTTCACTTTCAACATTATTAGCTTTATTAATCTCTCATTTACCTTGTAGATATGCATATTACCAGTGCATATATGCATATTTCTAATTATCTCATTCTAATAAAATCATTTTAATAATATTTTCCTAGTGTCCTAAAGATTAATTTGTTCCTAGTGAATTTAATATCCAATAAAAATATATAATCATCACAATAATAAATTGTTTAAAAAATAAATGTGGATTTTTACCATTATTTTTGACAAATTTAATAATTCCATAAAATAAATTGTAATACAATTATCTGAAGGGATAATGTATGACTCTAGAACGGATACACGCCAGCAGGAAAACGGAAATTAAAATTTTTTTAATTTTATATTCATTTTAAGGTAATACAAGAATTCAATAAAAAAAACAAATATACATTATTCTTTAATTTGTAGCACATAATACGAATGAATTTTGCAAAATGTCCTGTATCCTGTCAAATATTACCTACTTTTACAATATATGTACATGTTTTGATGATTCGTGCAGTGCAATAGGTACACACATTTACAAAGTATAATTGAAACAATGCGTGAGGGCACCGGAACAACAAAAAATTGAAAGGAAAAAAAAAACAAAATGATATTTGCAGTCACGCATTTTGGTCCTCTGTTCGTTTTCTTTTTTGTAAAATAAGCAAACATATGTATGAAATGAAGGCGTTGAACGAAAGAATTATAATTTTAAGAATAGAAACAAAATCGTAAAAGGATATCGAAAACAATAGGCCTAAAAATACACTATTTGAATAGTTTAATAATATATTTTGAATATTTTTCAAATGAAAAGGATGAAATTTTTGGTAAAAACAAAAAAAAAATAGTAAGAGAAAGGATATTTTGTTTATTCGGATATTCTAGGATTTTTCTTGTATACAAATCGGACGTGATTTTAGATTTATTTTAAAAATTATGTTGCGAAAAAAAAAGAACTAACTATGAATTATTGTAAAATGAAGATTTATGAAAGTTTCCTCTATACTGCACATAATGGAACATGTAAATTCATGATATTAAAAGGAAACTAGTTTCTGCTAACAAAATCTTTTAACTGCAATTCAAACTAATCCGATTAATAATCTCTTTTTTAGTAGGAAATCTGGTCCAGATATTAAAAATCTCTTCCAATTAAACGATTCAGTAATGTTCACGGAGAAGAACACCAAATAAATGGGAGAAGAGTGTTTATCACTTTAACCCTAATAAATAAATAAAAATAAAAGTTTTAAAACTGTGATTTTTTGGCGTTGATAAGTAATTTATTTCCGCCGGCTCACACATCACCTGTATCGAGATCTTTGCTAAACCAGTTGAATGCACAGCATTAATGTAATATTACGCAAAACAATGTAATGAATTCAAAATATTAAAAAAAATTTGTGCAAGAATCTGCTTCCTTCTTTTATTCAAGTCACAATTTTATTATTATTTCCTAAAATCAATTCGCATACCGAAATTTACAAGTCATATTTTATACCTGTAGAGAGCTGCCACTATAAATATATGTCTACTGATATTTAACATCTTTTTCCGGTTTGAACATTGTCATTTTGTTCTACAATAGAAAACATCCTTTCGCAACAGGAGACCAATTAAATATAAATTTTAATCAGGATATCCTTTTTTTATTATAACTATAATAGTGTAAATTTTTACATTTCATCAACAATATTTTTTTCTTTTTTTTTTTATTATTTTTCATAACTATTTACCTATTATTCTTCCTTTTAAATTTAGATTTTACCGATTTCAATCCTAATATTTTGGGTTTAAAATTGATTTCCTTTAATTATAATTCAATGAAAATGAATAGAAATCTGGAATGAAAGTATAAATTAAGAAATTATGTAAGTAAGTGATTTATTCTTTAATTTGCTGCTTTGTGTACCCTTTTGTACAGTAAATACAATAAATTTGAAAATAAATCAATTTAATTAAATTGAAAGCACATTGCAATCATGTAGGAGAGCAACATAATTAATTTGTATGTAGTAACACAATAAAATATAATTAATGGAAAAAAATATAATGATTAAATTCCAATGTAATTTTCGCGATAAAAATAAACGACAAGTTATTCGTCATAACCTTTAAGAATGGAAAAAAAAACAAGGTGGCACTCGTCTTATCAAAATTTTAATTTCCCATTTAATTGATAAAAAAGTGAAAGATTAGGCC